GACCCATTCTACCCCGGATCTTCAGGGTGAAGCCAAACACAAATTAATATAAACACTATAAGTACGCCTGCACAACGTAGATCAGAAAACATCTGGAAGTGTTAAGCACAAGTCATGCACATGATCCTGTATAATACTGTCTCTCTACGTAAACAAATACAACGTCAACCATGTACTCCACAACGGCAACGTTGACAATTAGACAATTAGAACGAATTTCTTTAACCATGACAATCAATCATGTGGCTGTACTAGCTCTTTGATTGAAAGAGAGGATAACACCGCCCTGTATCTAAATCTTCCCGTGATTAAAGATGATGACAAACCACGAGCATCACCTACACTCCACAACTATCTTAATGATTTGAAAGCGGAATTTACTAAAAACAACAAAACCCTTTCCATATTCATAAAAAATCTCTGCCTTATTAATAACCAGAGTCGATTTACGATTCGGACTGTATCATGGGCCTGTGTTTATGAATCACTATCAATAGTAATGATACCAGGTGTTCGCGAAAAGGTGTATCCTGTTATACAGAATAAATATAAGGTAGGTTCTCGATAATATAAATTGTAACACTATTTGCCATGGGCATTTTGTGAGCCCTAACAACTGCACTGACGAGCAACTGCAACTGTCGAGCAACTGCACTGTATAATTGACCAACACAGCAGAATAATAATTGGTCAGCTGACGTACTTATATAAGCAGCCTATATGCTGAAATAACAAATGTCAAGTACTCATCAGAATAATGATCAGTCAGCTGCCTTTAGTGTGTGAGTGAGTGAGTATGGTTTTACGCCGCTTTTAGCAATATTCCAGCAATATCACGGCTGGGGACACCAGAAATGGGCTTCACACATTGTACCCATGTCGGGAATCGAACCCGGGTCTTCGGCGTGACGAGCAAACGCTTTAACCACTAGGCTACCCGACCGCCCCCAGCTGCCTTTAAAAGCAGGCAGGTTGTGTTAACAAGGGAGAACCGGCAGACCATCGGAGGACCGCAGTCGCTGTCGTAGAGAGGACAAGGAGAGACGAGCACTGACCAGCCAGTCCAGCACTCAACTGCCCAAGTGTCAACGTGACTTCGTCGTCTTCCTATGTTCGACTCTGTAACTACTGATCGCCCGGTTCCGTAGTTCTACTGTGTTAATAAAGAAACCATTCTTTGCCACCAACACGGCTTGTCGTTCTAAGTGCACGGAGGTGTTACAAAATGAACAACGTATATCACTCTTGAACTTGCGTATATCATGTATCCGGACAAAAGTAAAAACTGTAAGTTTTACTTCGTCATATACATGTGAGTTTCTTAGTAAATATTTAAGAAATGCCACGAGTGTTACACACTGACATCAGCTGATTAGAACAACCATCTGTTCCTGCTTATGCGTGCTGACTGCACCAAAATAGAATGTACTGTTGTGCTGATTCTGTCATAGTGGTCCCATGTGCTGTGTGTTTCCCATGGCTTTTATTCGACCCTGAACCCTGAACATGTAGATAACACAATAATAAATCACTCGTGACCTTTAACTGGGACATCAACTTCAACCATGGACTACTTGTGTGGCACAGCTTTTGCTCTTGGCGATAAGAATATACTCACAGACTGTAATCTGGATCTACGCACACTGCTTAGAATACCCTTTATCTGTACATACCATAGACAACACTTAATAACAATAATACTTAATGATGGACCCGCGAAGATCCGGGGTAGAATAGGCCTTTAGCAACCCATGCTTGCCGTAAAAGGCGACTATGCTTGTCGTAAAAGGCGACTGACGGGATCGGATGGTCAGGCTCGCTGACTCGGTTGATGCATGCCATCGATCCCAATTGCGTGGATTGATGCTCATGATGTCAATCACTGGATTGTCTTGTCCAGACTAAATTATTTACAGACCGGCCCAGTAATGGAAATTAGATGATTAGTCAATTTGCTTCATGATCTGGTTTATAAGTAATCACTTTTTCATGCGTGGAAAGTAAAAACTCATTCCATAAAAAGCACATCAAATAAAAAAGGAAAACTGTTAAAATAGTTTTTAAAGTCAATACACAATGTATGTAAATATTATATTGTTATATCATTAAAATGGAGCCACAAACGCTAATATTATCAGCAAAAGAAGTGTAGGTTTCCGTTTTCCGGAAACCTTCCGGAAACCTTCCCACTTTGGATCCGGCCCGGATACCTTCCAAAAACAATGTCAAAATTTGGGGGTGCATTTTGTTCAATTAAGTGTGAAACATATAAAAAATGTGTCTGAAAAATACCAAGAAAATTTAAGGGTGCTGAAGGTATTTGGAAGGTTGCTGGAGGGTTTACGGTAGGTATCCGAGCCGGATCCAAAGTGGGAAGTGCTGTGATTATCAGCCATGGCGATAGCATGCACATAGGCTGCTAGTGTTTCAACCGAAATAAACGAAAAAGGTATGTTGCATTTTATTACCGTGATATTTTGTATGAATGAATTTAAGCTATCATCTGCACAAATCATAATCGGTAAATACAATGATTCAGCGGTGTTTGGTGGGATCTGTTGTTCGTGTTTTGACAGTGCAATTGGACAACAATTGCTTTTCTAGTTAGAAATGATACAGTAGACCCATACTATCGAATCGTTTTCTTTGACATTCCGTCCTTTGGCCGCCATTGTACCTGTCGTAAGCTCCTAAGACAGGTCCGACCCTGTCTTCATTTTTTTGTCGTAAAGTTAAACATAACTTAGCGCTAAGACAACTTCGAGCACACACGCAGCTAAGATGTGTTTCGTTACGACACCTTTACCTCAATCTTAGCGCTAAGACAGCTCTGTGAAAAGGCCACCTTGGTGTAAGGGCAACATGTTCAGATGGATTCATTCGTTAAGGTATATTTAAATGCAATTACGCATTAGGCAGGACGTTTCTGGTATGCATTCCATTGAAAATTGTACCCCAGAAGGTTGTGTTATTAACCCTGTGCTTTTCAACATCATGATCAATGACTTTTTCTAAGATCTTCCATGCAGATGCGCAGAGTGCTTATGATGGATCATATTGGAGGCTTTGGAAATGTTTTGAACGTTTATTCTCAGTCCGAATCTGTTGCAACGATGACAAGCAGAAATACAGTTCCTTGGTGACCACAAAATAGAAACTGTACGCGAGTTTATATTTCTTGGTGTAAACTTTCTGACCGAGGCAAAGGAGTTAACTGACTTTAAAAGTCCAGTTTCCACCCTTGTCGAACTAGGCTGGAATTACTGGGCTCGATCGTTGCGCCACCAGTTGCTATTACCAATTATGTCCCTTCTAAGCCTCTCCCATGGATCAGTCAGATTCTATTTCTCGTATCACTTGCGTTTGCTTCACATAAAATGGTGGCTCTCAGTCAGGACGATCAGATCGATAATCAAGATCTATATTGTGATAACATTGGTCTTACATCGCGAAATGCATCCAATCACGTGTGCACCTTGATTAAAAACATGAAAAGATTTGGAAAATATCTTCTGACAACGTGTTGGCGGTGCACATGCTTTGCAAATCCTGCAATCGATCGAAATCTGCACGACAGTTTACGAACCGGATTTTGATATCGGTGCTCGATTTTGATTGGACTATGCATAGATTCGTTAGTCCAGACAAAATGTAACTCCATAATACCAGCCTAGTTCGACAAGAGTGGAAACTGGACTTTTAAAGTCAGTTAACTCCCTTGCCTCGGGAAGATGGACCTTACGCCGCTTTTAGCAAAATTCCAGCATAATCACGACGAGGGACAGCTGAAATGGACTTCACACAATTTACTCATGTTAAAAATCGAACCCTGGTTTTCGGCGTGACGAGAGAACGTTTTAACTACTAGGTTACTCCGACGCCCCTGCAGTTCTAGAAGGCCAACTGCACCTACATAAGGTCAAGCAGATGGTCTTGCAAGACTTGACTTGTGACTTATCTCCTTACATGGTGCGGACGGGTTGTTTTTTTTGGTTTTGGTTTGTTGTTTTACGCCGCACTCAGTAATATTCCAGCTATATTACGACGGTCTGTAAATAATCGAGTCTGGACCAGACAATCCAGTAATTTACATCATGAACATCGATCCTCGCAATTGGGATCGATGGCATGCATCAACCAAGTCAGCGAGCCTGACCACGCGATCCCGTTAGTCGCCTTTTACGACAAGCATAGTCGCCTTTTACGCAAGCATGGGTTGCTGAAGACCTATCCAACCCCGGATCTTCACGGGTCTAGTGCGGACGGGATGCCTGATTTCAACCCTGTTTCTTGATTCAAGAACGTAGCACGTGGCTCACTCAAGACATTGAAATGTGATAAATACTGGCCATTCGTGAGGGCAATGATTTTCTGTTCGGATTGGCAAAGTCAAAACAAGGTAATTTGGCCAAGACGTTTAACTTAAGCTTATCGATAATCTGATATCCTTCAATCAAATAGCCAATTCCCTTCAACTGATTCCACCTAAACTAAAAGTAAAACAGACCAGTGATACTTCCTTGACACGGGTGGCCCAGTCGTCTCAGGCGCCGCAATTCGCTGTGTAGTCTAGCGTCCCTTGGCCAAGCCAGTAACCTATGATTGTGGGTTCGATTCCCGGTTCTACGTTTGTCAGCACCATAGCTGTATTCGTGGGTTTCTCTAAAGTGGTAAACGTCTAAGACCTGCCTTACTTTGGGCTTTCCTCCCACATTAAGCTGACACGCCGTGATATAACTGTAACCCTGTTAAACACGGCGTTAAACCCAACTCACTCACTATAAGATGTCCTGTGATTTGCATTAACATAGTTAGTATTTAGAATCAAATGAACGGTTACGTGCAGATAACAATGTTTAAGGACTTAGTTTACTCAGACTACGTTGACATTTTCTGCAGACACATTCTATCCTCTTATCTACACTCCCAAAATATTTGTTACAGATGCTACTTCACACACACATTAAAGTTCATATATTAAACCATCCCATTTAATCTAGCTTTAGTTCAGACCAGAATGTTACCACTATCAGCGCTTGTGAGCGCAGTGCTGCTCCATCAGGGGTTCTCTGACACGACTGTCACCATCTACAACGAGTGGCTCTCCCAAGGTGGACGAGTCCATTATGAAGCTGACCGATGGAATAAGCATAACGGTCTTACCAGAACAAATCTGATTCCAAAGTGTAAAGCTATTGGAACTGCGAGTGGGCGCTGGATTAACGGAGACGTAAATATATTCAAAAATGTATGTATCAATTTTGTGAAACAGAAGTGTCATTTTGATCTTATTTACAATCTTATGATTTGTAGAAGCCGTCCTCCTGTCAATTATTGTGGTTTCAGTAGTATTTGGTTGCAAATCCACTGTATAGTATTTCTGAAGAATTAAATTAGTTTAATTTCATTTTGGATAAATTCAAATTATGGGCAGTAATGTCCACGTCCTTTACATTAGTTATGGTGAAAGTGAGAATATAAATCTTATAGTTTTTTGTTTGTTTGTTGTTTAACGCCGCACTCGCGAAATGGTCAGAGCTAAAACCAATGCTGATAAAAGCCAGGGGAAAAGTTTGTTTGTTTGTTTTGTTGTTTAACGCCACTCTCCGCTATATTCCAGCGGAATGACTGCGGTCTGTAAATAATCGAGTCTGGACCGGAAAATCCAATGATTGATATCATGAACATCGATCTACGCAATTGGGATACGAAGACTTGTATCAACCCGTGAAGATCCGGGATATAATAGGTCTTCAGCAACCCATGCTTGCCGTAAAAGGCGACTATTCTTGTCGTAAAAGGCGACTAACGGGATCGGTTGGTCAGGCTCGCTGACTTGGTTGATGCATGTCATCGTATCCCAATCGTGGATCGATGTTCATGATGTCAATCACCGGGTTGTCTGGTCGAGACTCGATTATTTACAGACCGCCGTCATATAGCTGGAATATTGCTGAGCGCGGCGTTAAACAACATACAAAGACTTGCATCAACCAAGTCAGCGAGCCTGACCACCCAATCCCGTTAGTCGCTTCGAACGGCATGGGTTCCTGAAGACCTACTCGAATCCGCCACGGTTACCAAGCTTATTGACACAACATTGTCTCTAAGGCCCCAGCAAAGGTTTCAAAATGTTTTATGGAATACATGAGCAGGACGTTTCCAAAATTGACCAATCAGTGACACAAATGATGTCCGATGCAATTACTTCGTTTTACTCAAATTATATGTTTCATGTGTGTTTAGGTGAACAATTTGCATTTGCATGTGTTCGTAACGTTGCTTCCGGTATTATCCCCACTTGATAGTAATTCTTAAACACATGCTTATGATAATGTCGGAATTGCACACTGGAACTTTAGGACCCGTGAAGCTTCCGGGGTAGAATAGGTCTTCAGCAACCCATGCTTGCCGTAAAAGGTGACTCTGCTTGTCGTAAAAGGAGACTAACGGGATCGGGTGGTCAGGCTCGCTGACTTGGTTTATGCATGTCATCGATCCCAATTGCGTGGATCGATGCTCATGATATTAATCACTGGATTGTCTTGTCCAGACTCGAGTATTTACAGACCGCCGTCATATAGCTGGAATATTGCTGAGTGCGGCGTTAAACAACAAACCAACAAACCAACCACTGGAGCTTTAGTAGAGATTTCTTATGTTTAACGAACTGGTTGCTGTCCTTTTGTATTCACATACGTCATGGGGAATATCCTGGTCATGGCAATTCCAAATAATTTGCGGTGACATTTTCGTTTGATACAGATATGCTTTAACAGCATCAAGCTGCCCTGTTCTGTTGTGACAAGATACTTGATGTGTTCTCTGTGTTCTCTGTCATTATGTTAATGATTATTATCCAATTATCAATGCATTGCTTTTACGGGTGTACAATGCATTTTACAGCACGTGTAGCCCTCCTGTGATTGAACGTCTTACCACAGGTAGTGACGTTAATTAAAAAACAAAGATCAGTTGGTATGCGTAAATCAATAACTTATGCAGACGTAATTCAAAATTTAACATAGCATTTTTAGTTTCAACAAACGCAATAAATACACTATCGTTTAGATGGATTCCTGGTCCATTGCTTGATTGCCTGGTGTATGACAGGAATCTGCTGTGCGGTGTCTCCACATATACTCATATTGTTATGATTGAATAAGGCAAATTAAAATTGAGCGAATATCCCTAATTCTAAGGACGAAAATATATCCACCCTCACCAGTTTGCCCAATTTTCAGCTTTTCCTGGATTAAATCAAGGACAGGAAATCTAACTGGCTTATTCAAAAGCAAAACGGTTACCTGACGCATAGTGTCATGGTGAGGTTTAAACTACTATGGACAAACGAGGCCAAAACACAAAAGCATTGCAAAATTGTCTGATCTGATCACTTTTCTCCTCAATAAGAATATCAACATGACTATCTAACTATTGATAGTGTGTGAATAACGACTATGAATCTGAAATGTTAATGATCAAATCATCAACTCACATAATAAACATGTTATCTTTTCAGTGGCTACTTATATGAAGCATGTTTTTTTCTATCAGATTCAAGAAGATGTAATTTCTGTATATGCACATGACATCATATTATGAGTTTGTATCAATTGTACTTTAGGCCATAGTACTGAATAAGCCTGTCTGTCTGATAAAATATGTTGCTATCGAGGTCTTCGGTTTGTGTTTTCAGTGGCCCCAGAGCCCAAGTCACCATGGTTACCCTGACCCGAGTTATCTACAAAACCACGCTAAACAGACACAAACATGGAATTACTGGATGGAACAAGTGCACGGCTATGGAAGTCAAGTCGATAATATGGTCTGGGAAACTAAAAGTAATTATCATCCAAAGTAGTAAATTGTACACATATATTGACGAAACCGTCCTGTAAACGTATTTACGTTTTTGTACCATTTGTGGATACAAGTCTACGGATACGAACTAATGAAAGATTTTTGTATTTATTCCCGTGTGTTGTCATTAAAGAAGATGTGCCTTGCTGATATGTATTCCCTCACACAACAGTAGTGTCATCTGACATTGGGTTCATTTAACCTAACTGTCATGCTCAGTAAAAAATTGCAATCCGAGTTGTTAATATTTTGTTGTTAAAGATGCTATTTTCTCCAATGTATTATAAATACCATCACTTCGTTTACCCTAATGAGTGAGTGGGTTTAACGCCGCTTTAACAGTGTTTCAGTGATATCGTGGCGTGTCAGCTTAATGTGGGAGGAAAGCCCCAAGTGATGCAGGTCTCAGACCTTTACCACTTCGGTGAAAACCACGAGCACGGGTATGGTGCTGACAAACCTAGAAACATAATTGGGGCGAATCGGAATTCGAACCCACAATCATAGGTTTCTGGCGCACCCAAGGGCCACACAGCGAATCGCGGCGCCTTAGACGACTGGACCACCCGTGCCCCCCTACCTTAATGAATATCCTTGTAGGCTATAACTATATCTAGATGACAGGATCTGTGTTGCTTTAAATAGTGATGGTTACCTCCGCTTTTTTAACTTAATATATTTCTAACTTGCATGTAATAGCCATGTAAATTCTTTTATATACAGATGAATTACATTTTGTTTTGATGTTAAAGGAATCATATGTTATTGTCCATTATCTTGTCCTGAACAGGCTTGTTCTGGCCATTCTTTTATATACAGATGAATTACATTTTGTTTTGATGTTAAAGGAATCATATGTTATTGTCCATTATTTTGTCCTGAACAGGCTTGTTCTGGCCCAGCTGGATAGATAAGTCTCACCATCAAGGTAAATTCCCCAACAACCTCGACGCAGTGGGAGAGTTTGTCTCACTGATGGTCCAGAGCGCCAAGGACTACTCGGGAGGGCACATGCCTAAAATATTCGAAGTCATCAACGAACCTGAGGTAGAACACTTCATTGATGAACAAACCCTTCTGGATTTGCATAAAACAGTAGCCCAGAAGCTGAAATCCAGGTTTGGAATAAAGGTTGGAGGACCAACCTACACTGGCTATACCATACTCAAATCTGATATCAACAACTTTGGTATATGGAAGAGGACAGCTAGGTTTTTGGATATGTCTCTTGATCATTTGGACTTTTTCTCTTTCCACGCCTACAACCATATCTATGTGTCCGGCGGAAGTCATCACTACAGTGGCATCAACGAGGCTCGTCTGGTTGCTGGTATTGACATGATAGAAAACTATTCTCATCAAAAGAAAGGTAGGAATGTTCCAATCATTATCAGCGAGTACGGCAGAGGTGGCACACACGGAATAGATCAGTGGGCACACAGTGGGTTCCTTGACTTTCAGACCATTTACCAACCCAATGGCTTTATGTTTACCTACCTGAATCTGAGAGAGTTCATTGACAGGGCAATAGTTTTCATTCTTGCCAATGAACAATACACCGGCCATACCAGCCTCAACTGGTCCTTGTTTACTAAAGATGGTCATCCGACACAAATGGTCAAATTCTTCCAGTTTTGGCATAATTTCAATTATGATCAGAAATTCCTGAAATTCGGAAGTCAGTTCACCGGAACTGAAAGAGTTGTGTCCCCTTTAGCTCTAGCCAATCCTACAAACAAAGAGTTGGTGGTTCTTCTGCACAACTATGGCACTGCCTGGCAGAATGTAAAGTTAGACTTCCACGGTGGATGGATTAACCCTACAACTGGTGAATCAACATGTGTCAAGTACGAAAACGGTAATCCAGCAATGCACTCCAATGTCCACTTTGATACCACAAAGAACCATGGAAATGTCGGTCTACCTGGAGAGTCAACTTGTTTCTACAAGTTTAAAACCAACCACAACTTTGGAAGCCTCCGGACCAACAACGAGAACACCTACTACGGCAACAACATGATCATTCCTATCAGCAACGGACATGCGCAGACAACCATACATCTACCCAGTTCCGGCTACCATACGGCTCATCTTAGAGTGGGCGTTAGTCGTGACAAAAACGCCAATGCAAAACCATTGAGCGTCGTACTCAATGGATATACCCTTCCATCAACCTACACACTGTTTGACGCTGACAAGATTGAAGCATCTACCAAATGGCAGTTGTGGGAATACTGGGTCCCAGTAGACCATGTCAAGTCAACAAACACCATCAGCATGACCTTTGCTGGGAATGGTGGCCATGTGACCGCGGTAGCTCTGGTTGTGGGGAAACTTCAATAAACAGGTTCGAGATCTAGACATTGCTCTTTGTTATTAATCGATATGGCGTGTCTAAATACCTTAAAAATCGAGTTTGTGTCTTGTCTTATGAAGTGCATAATGATTGCTTTGGAATATGTGCCAAGGTATAATAATGGGTTGGGTTCTTTGAACAGCCCTACATGTATTTCATGACGTGTCTACTCAAGGGATTCGAAGAGCTAAAAGTTATACTAGTCTTATAAGACATTTACCACTTTGGTGTAACCCACGGGCACGCATCGGGCGCTGACAGACCAGTAATCGTAGATTGGTTATCACGGAACCTGGACTAAGAAACGCACCCAGTATTTGTGAATAAACAATCCATGTCAAATACTTGTACACAGGAGCCTCTGTCCTCCATGAAGATTTGCATCCACCTCACCTGGAAATGTGGTGCATGAAAACGATATGACAAGGACCAAATTGTGTTAGTTAGAATAATAATACCGGTCCTAAAACCCCATCAGATGTTAATGTCATATAAATAGGTAATCACTTTATTCCAGAAGGAAAACAGTTATATTCTATAAATCCTTGGTCAATCTTGCAGAAAGTGATAAAATCATATTTGACTCGCTTTCCTCCTTAAGATGAAGTTCAAAACAATTACTTAACACTATGACATTTCTCACTGTTATATTATTACAAAAATAACACTTGTTACCTGTAGAATAACAGAACACACATGTATATGTCATGAGATGTTTAACTAAAACACCCATTTGATAAGGAAACATCTAGCATAGATTTGATCTAGCATACCGTATTCGACGTGATTAGCGCCCCGCTCTAATAAGCGCCCACGGCGATGTTTGCTAATATATTGGCTAGTAAACAATCCTAATTAGTCACCCCTTCCGATTGATTAATGTACTTAAGACTTATTTATTCGCGTATAATACGCACTCGTGTGTTATATGCACCCTTAATTATGGGCAATTAAATTTTGGAAAAATATATCTGTCGTATATAAACATTTCAGGCTGTCAGCGTAAACCACGAAATTTACGATCTTTCAACTCTGTTTTTTTTCACCTAACTCATATTTCTAATCTTAATTTTGAGAGCGCCCTTGGCGCATATTACGTCAAATACGGTATGTCAGATCGTTAGAAGTTAGACATTGAGATAAAGAAACATGCTGCCAGACACATGCTGTCTTCAATGTTAGTTGGATCAACGCAAACCTACGCATTATACTCAAACGGACATTCTGCAAGAGACTGAATTACAAAACAAACATATATCACAGTAAATTGATTTTAGTATGTTACTTTAATTCACATTATGCATTCATAGTACTTCGAGATTCTTTGTTTCTGAAAAGAGAATTTCATTTTATTTAAAGGAAATGCAGACATAATTGTGTGATATGTGAAATTTATTCATCTTGTTGCTCTTAAGACATAACGTTATCAGTATGTGACGTAGTGTGGAAGACAACTGACATCATGTTGTGTTGTCCTTGATAATAACATAATATTACCCCATAAATGAAATATATATGAATACAGATTTGCTATGCATAATATATAATGGTTAGAACACAATTTGAATACATCCATACTGAATTTACCAAATTAACCCTGCAACGTGTTTACTGAAGTCAGTACATGTATGTCACATACATGTGTAATCAATATTTCTGTTCCCTTTAAGAATAACGATTATCGCAAGCTCGGAAGTTCATACAGTTTCTCCCTCACTCTAAAATGGTGGATACTCCAATCACCTCACACAATGTGAAAGTCAATTCACCAGAAATGGGCTTCACATGCAGATGAAGGTTCCTATATAAAACCATCCCTTTTAATCAAAATGAAATTCAGACCAGAATGTTACTACTATCAGCGCTTGTGTGCGCAGTGCTGCTCCAGCAGGGGTTCTCGGACACGACTGTCACCATCTACAACGAGTGGCTCTCCAAGGGTGGACGAGTCCATTATGAAGCTGACCGATTGAATAAGCATAATGGTTTGACCGAAACAAATTTGATTCCAAAGTGTAAAGCTATTGGAACTGCGAAAGGGTGCTGGATTAACAGAGTCGTAGCTCTGTTTCAAACTATAATTTTGTGACAACAAATTGCGATGTTATTCTTACATATAATCTCATTGTAATTATAGTATGAAAAAGAAATGTTCTCTGTTCTAATTATTGTTTGTGTAGAATTGGGTTTGAAATGGACTGTATTATATTCTGAAGAATTAGATTTAGTTTTAATTTTAGTTAAAGATATTCAAATTCTGTACAGGCAAGTAATGGCCACGCCTTGGGAAGGCTTTCAAAAGGTTTTATCCTAGAAATGTGGTGGGCATGTCCGAATTTGACGCATCAGTGATACAATTCCTGCTTTTACTTTTACCATATGTTCCCGAGTTGTTTTCATGTGAACAATGACTTGACCCTGCCGCCGTTTAGGCAGGATACCACCTTTTTGCGGAAATGTATTTTGTAACTTTTTCAGTTTTTCACTTTTGTCAAAGCGTGTCACGTGATCGTACTCGGGGATTTGAAACCGACATACATTAGAAAAGGGACGCGACACTTCACAGCAAATTGCAGCACCACAGAAAACATGGCCACTCGTGCCCCCAAAATAAAGAGAGAGAATGTTACCACATGATATGTATAATTTGTTTTTGTAGTCCACGTATTGTGCTTGAAAACATTTCCAGATCATCAGCAAACAACATACGAATTATAGTTTCCGCGTGAACCTGGACTTGTTGAGCTCATGCTAATTCCCCAACAACCTCGATGCAGGAGGAGAGTTTATGTCACTGATGGTCCAGAGCGCCAAGGACTACTCGGGAGGGCACATATCTCAAATATTTGAGGTCATCAACGAACCTGAGGTAGAACACTTTATTGATGACCTCAAATACTCCTGGAATTGCATAAAATAGTAGCCCAGAAGCTGAAATCCAAATTTGGAATAAAGGTTGGAGGACCAACCTACACTGGCCAACATTTAGCAAACGCTTGTTCAACGAATGCTCGCATGAGCATGCATATGGCGCTGACAGACCAGCTATCACAAATGGGGTTTCTCCGAACCTGGACTAAAGAACGTACCCTGTTTTGTGAATTAACAACTGCTGTTCAATGTAGAATGCTGGTACACAGGAGCTACTGTCACTATGAGGATTTGCATGCCATTTACATGACTCGCTCTTCATATGAACAAATGATGCATGCTAATGATAAAAGATTTCCATGCCCCATTACAAGGATCAATTATGTCTTAATTACTTGCAATTCAAACACCGGCCCTAAAAGCTATACAGCTTTTGTTGTCAAATAAGTAGGTTACACCCAATTATTTCACATGCCATGACACTTGTCATAAGTGCAGTGATATTGAAAGATAACACTGACTACCTCAAGGATAATTAACATATATGTCATGAGATCTTCAGTAAGAACAAGCATATGACAAGGAACCATCCAGCTATGTGTGATCATATTTAAATCCTGGAAATTGAGAGAACAAGTTGCAAGACACATTTAATGACGTTTAAGACGAGTGTATTGTTTGTATGAAATGCCGCTAGTATCAACACAAACCTTATACTCATATAATCATCATTAATGGGACATTTAGAAGCGGTAACAAAAACTAAAACAAGATCACAACAATTTTGAGAAGGGATGATTCAAGCATACACAAACATGTAGCTATTATGAACATCAGGTTTTCATCATGTTTTGAGATTGTTATTCTTGAAAACTCTTTTCATTTCATGCAAAGGAAGAAATGCAGATACAATTGTATGAAATGTAAGCCGCATTCATCTTTTGCCCATATGACACAACACTATCACTTGTACGTCATAAGAGCCACAAACGAAGTCATTTTGTATTGTTCTATACAACATAGCAATATATACTCGAAAATGCCGAATGCAAACATATATATACATAACAGTTATTGGCAATACATATTCCTCAGCACACAAGTTGGCAATCAATGCTTTACGATGTCAATGTGAAGGCGGGAGAATGTGTCTGTAATTGACATTGGGACAGTTGGAGCTGGCTTGACACTGATCTGATGGTTAGATCGCTGACAGATACCACACGATTTTCCAATATCTTAATACATGCTTGGCCAGTAATATTTGGCTGCGAGTCCCGACCAAGATGACAACGACCTACTTTTGAGTCATGATAGGCATAAAGAAGATCTTTGCACAACACGATGAGTACTAACAGAGGGGCGATTGTTTTTGGATCCTCTGAACTTTGATTGATGAAAATGATAAAGAAAACCATCCCCGACATCATATTCCTGGGCACGACCTCTAAGACCTTTGACCTCAGATTCACTGTAAGATTCTGAGACTTCACTATTTTTAAGGAAATCAATAATAGACTGAAAATCTGGCGAATTGTATTGTTTGACATCTGGTTGCTCAAACTGGAACGTAGATGAAACTTAAGAAACAGACAGACTTGTAATGTGTAGTTTATTCAGAAACACAAAACAGCTAGGGAAACTGAATCGTCAATATTGGGCACAGACGAAGCAGAGTGGTGTTTGTGATAGAGGTCAATGTGGCAGGAGAGGGACAAAGCCTCTTTTTGCGCACATCAGTGGGAAGTTGTTTGGATGTTTGTGATTGGGTAGATGTTTGGTGATTCTTGGTTTGGAGATAAAGGAAGGAGCACATGTAATTGCTGCAACATTTGCGTGAGAGGACAAAGGAGGGGAGGGTATGTCATTAACTTGATTATACAGAGTAGGAGATATAGCTTCAACATTTGCATTTGATTTTCCTTGGCAGTGTATAATTTCAAAATCATAGCCTTGCAGCAAAAGCGACCATCTACCTAGCCGTCCTCCGTCTTCTTTGAACCTATGGAATCAGGTCAAAGTTTTGTAATCTGTGTACACCTGAAACTTCCTTGATGTCAAATATACCCTAACGTGTCTAGTTCCTTCTACAACTGCCAGGCATTCTAAGTGTGTGACACCCCATTTTGTTT